TACGTGTAAAATTTACTGAAAAAACACTTTAATCTACCATAAATACATTATATAAATACTAGGTATCTGAATTACTCGACTTCGCCCGGAAAGTATTCGACTATTTTATAAAAAAAAAAAAGTGAGGTTAAAAAAACTACTATTTTCTTAATTATATCACTTTAATTTAAATAATATATTTGTATAAATTTCTATTAAGATTAAAATACTTCTTTGTAAACAATATTTTTTGTTCTTTAGTGAGGTGCATATATATCCTACATTTTTATCATAGTTGTAGATTTTTTTGCTATACAGACAGTCCTGAGTTTATAAATGAGGGAAGGAAAATGTTCTTTTTTTAATTTGACGGGACTCAGTATTAAAACATGGACTCAATTAGTATCATACCTAAAATTTCACTGGGACTCGGTTCGTATGCAGCCGTTATGTCAGCGGTACGTATTTTATCGATAAATATTATTAATACAAATATTCAGTGTACATAGTGTCTGTGTACTCGCGGTGCTCGAGAATATTTTTATCGACAAACTTCTCTGAAAAATTCATATATCTACATGCCGATTTCAAAAACACAATAAGACGGACCAAAAGGTCAGGTTACATTTAGCCGGAAACCCACAAGCCGCCGCCTGTTATATAGCTATCATACGCCGCTTATTGTATTCCGGAATTCCGGAATTGACACGTTCAATATTAGAAGACATTCGGAATGTGCCATTCTTAACACCTAGGGGTTTAAAATGTAGCTTATGACCTACTTTTAGATTTACCAAATATATACACGACAAATTTCATGAAAACCGGTCAAGCCGTTTAATAAAACCGATTATTTATATAATTATTACAATATTATTATAATATGCATTTAAAATTGTTTACTGCAATTATTTAAGTAGCGTCGTTACATTATTAACATAATAAATTATTGTTAATTGACAATAAAAATTGTTAATTTCTATCTTGGATAATTGTTTAAGTAAGTTACAATTGTAACCATAGTTCGTATAGTTAGGTTGCCCAACTATAAATAGTTTATGAACTGGCTGTAAGTGTGCCGCGATCGTGGTACATGCGTATAGTGGTATTAGGTATTTATTTTTTTTTATTAGAAAATAATTATAGTAAGTATTAGGTATTAATTTTTGATTATATAATAAATTAATAATAAAAAAAATAATAACTAAAATAAAAATGCCTTTTTTGTTTGCTTTTTATCATTTTATTACTACAGTGTATTTGGGGATGTTGCTGTTATTCACCGATTTATTGTATTGTTCGAATTTGTATTGAATTGAGCTGCTACGGTCGTGGATCGCCAAGGTTAACATATTTTCACTTTATCGTCGTCGCTATAGAAACAGCGACGAACAAAAATATTTTGTTACTTATATAACTTGACCGTTTTTAATGATTATAAGAACAAGAAAAATCTTCTGATATTTAATCAAATAAATAATTATATTAAATTAGGTACCTAGTAGGAAATTTCAAAACGATTTGTAGGTATAGAAGACAATCAAAATAATTTATTTTGCACGAAAATACACGTATTTCATAAATAGCTAATAAATATTTGGAACGTTATATATAATAGGTACATAGAATTAAAATTTATAATTGACAATAAATAGCATTTTTTTCAAATACCTTACACGGAATGCCATTAATACATCATTATATACTAATATAATAAGGTATACCTACGAGTACGTGTAGTCATAATGTGTATTTAATTATTCCGTTTCTTGTTTAGGTTCTACAAATGTGTTTTCTAATAATGTTATTGAATTTTTATTATAGGCATTTGACTATTCGAGATTGAAATTTTAACGAAATCGTTTATTTAACCGAAAAATTATGATAATATTATAAAATAATATAATATACTTGGAGTAATAGACTCACTCTAAACGTGAAATTTTAACTATATTATAATAATATCTGAATTTTCAGAGTTGTTCTGAATTCCCTCCTGAATGTCACTAGATCATCCGATTTAAAACTTTTTTTTTGTCTAGAGAGGTGGGAGGGGGTGTATTGTATTTAAATGTTCCAATTTTCTAACGACACTATTTAACATTTTTCCAATTTTTTTTCAAAAAATTATACCAAATACTTAATATCACTAGAAACATTTCAATATACGTTTTAATTAACAGTTTTTTATTTTTCTTTCCCGATCACATTATTAAACGATAACATTTGAGTAAAAAATTCTACTCATCAATATATCATCATCCGAAAGCAAAATAAATAACCAACCACGGGCGAAGCCGTGACGGGTCGGTTATTTATGTATATCGACTTAAAAAATCCTTTTACTTTTCTTTACATTTTGATGAACAGCCTTGAGATCCGTAATCAAGAATAAGGAAATAGCTTGAAAATAATTATGAATTGGAAAACAAAATTAAAAGCAAAAACATGACTTTATATAAATTCTATTTTTTAAATTAATTTTTATAGCAAAAATATAAAAGAATGTAATTTAATTTCTGCTTGTCACAAATAAAATGTATAAATCATTTTTTTTTTTTAACAAAATAGGTATTGCTTAAATTAAAATAAATAATTGCTTTTTAACAATAAATACGTATTTAAATTTATTGATTTCATAATTTATTCAAAAATACTTGAGGTACCAGTGAGTCATGGAATTTACCTTTACAATGTTAGATACTATCACTTATTTTGATTGAAATTTTACTAGTATAAAAATAAGAAAATGAATAATAGATTAGACAAAATTAAGTTTCATCATATGTCTTGGCATAAAATATTCTTATACTATACATTAATAAGTTGATTGATGTATTTAATAATTTAGTACACAGAAGTGTCAAGTATATTATAATATAGGTAATTAAATTTTTCTTTGCAATTTTTTCATATGTTTTAGCAATAACAAAAAATAAATGAAAAAAACAAATAAGCATTTTTTTATTAAAAATATGAGACTCCTATCTCAGATTAGATCATTCACAAAAAATAAACTTTCAATTGTTAAGTATAACAATTTAGGGTCAAAAAGTATTTATGTTTTATCCGGTGTCCCACAAGATGACCATTTGTCCCCTTGCCTTTTTTTATTATTTATTAACTATATATTCAAAAAAATAAATTAGTCATCGATCTTTCGTTATTGTAAAAGGTCAAAAAATATGATAAAGATTGAAGAAAGTCTAGTTAACAGTACTACGAAATCGGAAATATGTCTTATCTCCATGATTTATATCCTTTATTTATCCGTATAATTATCAAGTTTATATTATTATATATTTACACAGCTGCGTAAACATTTATTGACATTTTAGGTTATTATTATAATTGATGACATTTAAAAAAAATCAAATATTT